TGTATGTATTCGATGTTAAACTTGTATGAAACTGTTCATGTCAATCTTGTTGAAAATTCAAATGAAAACTTTTTCCCTTGACGATTTTACATAAAGTCAAGACAATAAATGAAGAAGAAGAATATGAAATTGTTTTATTTTGTGGTCTCATCTCAGCTGTTTACAATCGCATTTGTATTAAAGCAATGACATGTTTAACCTTGAGATGATGGAGAATATTTGTAGCTCAGGTGGGTGATTTTGATGGAGTTTCGTTCTCTGAGTTGAATGGTTTGGCCGTGGAGCTTTCATTGTTGTTTTAAACGACATCATCAGCACAAACTTCAAGTAAAGTGAATATAAGACGGTTATAAGATCTAGAATCAAATCAATGAGCAATACAATCAAAACAAAGGAGTCAACAATGACAGGTTTAAGGTCAATAAGAACCAATCAAGATCGAGGTCTACAGGACAAGCTGTGCATTTATTATTTATTTATTTAAACACATAAACTTTCGTACAAGAAGGCACCAAATAGATATGCACCATATAGATCATTCGATTTGTGTGAGGGCTGTGATACTGCCCGGGTACCCAGACCAAAGCAGGTGGTTTTCTTCGGGGGCCACACCCCGAGCCTTTGACCTAAAGGTCTGACCCACAAGGCAGTGGAGCATCGTAAGGAGATGCAGCCCCATGGTAGCCGGTGACCAACGATTGGTTCATACGCCATTTGTTCCCGCAGGATACTGGAGCCCATGTGCACCATCGGTTTGGAATCCAGTTAAAGCGCCGGACATTCGCTTTTCGTCCTCTCAATTTCGTAAAAAACACCCCCACCAAGAGAAGACAGTGAGTAGGACTTCCCTGGCAGAGGCTGTATACGGGTGGCCGTGTGAGAGCATCTCGAGAGGGAGGGCGGGCCCACCCAACTCTCGGCAATACCAGGGCATTCGGGGCAACAGGACAAGCTGTGAGCCATATGTGGAGAAATTCAAACACTTCACTTCTGATGTTGATGTTGTTCAGAAGAACGATGAAAGCTTCACGACCGAACCATCCAGCTCAGAGAACAAAACTTCATCAAAATCATCCACCTGAGCTACAAATCTTCTCCATTAACTCAAATGCTAAATTCATATTTTACTCAGCTAAAATGTAAAGTATTGCTAACAAAATTTTAATTCAATCTATTTATTAACAATTTTACGTAATAAACATAGGAGATTTGCTTAGACTATTTACTAGTGGAGTTTAACCATATCAGGAGTGACACAGTAATCTACATCTGATGATATGAGATGGTTATACTGTGGTGTGTGCTACTTATATTGACATAAATAGTATATGATGTTAGTCGTGAACAGAAGGTCTGGCAACAGGGAGACAAGAGGATCGAACAGTAAAGAATGGAAACAGAATGTAATTTGTATGAAAATACAAGAATAATGAAGTCTGAGTCATTTTGAAACAATTGGTGAATATTTTGCTAATTAAGCATTTACTTTATGATTGTTAGATTTATTTAACAAGTCCTGTAATTTTGTGTTAAATACATTCGATTGTCCCCACTCGTGTTCTGTCCACTACAATACAACATCGTGAATTGATTGGAGTTAGACATTTATATGATTAAATGTCGGCTAAATGATCTTATGCTTAAACTCATGACGTAAGATCAAAGGTCCTTGGTTCGATCTCTGATGAGTTCATTGATGAACATTATTAAGGAATCCATTTCTTCTTGATTTTCGATAGTCATTTAATAAATATTATGTCTCGATGTAAACCAGGGATATTTTGATATAAATTCACGCTAAACTACCTTATTTCAAGATATATCTTAGTAATTTAATCATTTAAAGTATTAAAACCCAAGTGAATTTTTTTCTTATTTAAATAAACATTCATAACATATGTTACTATGAATTGGTGAATTTCTTAGATTCAACACTGAATTTCATTTAACTGAATAAATTACATCTGGTTATTCATTTATATTGTGGTTGTTCGTTTGTTTGTTTCTATTCACCCTTATGATAGAGAGTTTCTGTACTGTTTACAATAACATTTATAAGCTGTATAATCATAGTAAATATGATCATTTGTAAAAAAAAACATTTAAAAAAAGAACTGAAAAACAACATTTTTATTGACCATTATTGACAGATCTCTGCTTAAACCTTCAAGAAGCAAAGACATATTTTCTATTTACTGATTGATCAAGCATTGTAACTATTATAGATGGGGATTTGTGAAGATTGTAGTAGTTTAACAGTTGAATTTATGAGTTAGTTTAAGCTAGACTACTACTGGAAACCTGAAAGCATTGGATGGCTGTTCTGTTCTATTATGGAACTTCTAAACAGTGTGAATTCACGATCCCGCACATGGGACTCGGACCTAAGACACTCAGTCTTGCACGCGAACTCTTAACTCCTAAACCATCGAGCCGTTTGACATCTAACGGTGTTAATGTTTAACTTTATTCGATCCATGATGTTGCGCAACGCTTCATCCATTATCTGAGGTGGATAACTGTTTCCACCCGATACGGATTGGACTACTATGGTCTACATTCAAAATGGAACTCCTGAAGTTCTAGTGTGAAGCCATGACTAATGGAGTTCAACCGTGTCAGATGTGAAGCAGTTATACACTGAAGACAATAGAAGATGGTCACGCAATATCGTGGATTGGTTGAAGTTAGATATTGACACCTTTGGGTGTCTGCTCGGTAGTCTAGAGGTTATGAGCTCGAGCGTGAGGCCGAAGGTCCTAATTTTGAGTCCCGTGTGCGGGATCATAAATGCGCGCTGTTGAGGTGTCTCCTAATAGGACAGAACGGTCGTGTAGTTTCCAGTTGTGGTTTATCTCAGACTCAACTGTGAAAGATATAACTGTTTGACTTACTTTTAAGTCACATTTTACTATTCATATAAGATGAATATTATTTGGTGTTTTTTGATGAACATTTCACTACTGAATTTACGATTAGATAAATCTAATCATCTATATTATTATGAAAATTTGTTGTAATTTAGCTGTAGAGTGTGAAAATAGCATCTTTATTGCTTTCCAATTTAATTTTTTTTATTTTAAAAGAGTAATGATACATTAAATAACTTTTGAAGCCTTCATAGTTAATAAGTGATCACTGAACGTATATATTTCTTATCAACAAGTTGCTAGGTGATTATTTTAACCATTTAATTGGGAGAAATATATTGTGTCGTTGACTTCTAGCTGAAATATGATTAAAAGATCGTTTTTGCTGTGCACTTACATTGATTATAGTGGTATTGATAACTAGAATGAATTTGACAAATGGTTCTTTTTTGTTTTGAGAGTTGAGAACAGTGACTGATTAAGGTGTGTTGTTTTTGCGCTTACAATCACTTATCTTCATAATGAATCATGGGCATTTCTAGTATGAGGCTTAGACTTAACAGTGAGATAGTTGATTATCGACGACACTTGATAATCAATTTATTATATTACAGTTGACTGAAGTTTAGAAATGTGAACTGTTTTATTTTTTACTTATACCTAATATCCCTTATGGAGCATAGGCCGTCGGTCAAGTTTCTCCGGCCAACTGTGTCCTGGGCTCTTCTTTCCATTTTTTTCCATGTGCTATTCATTCTTTTCATATCTGCCTCCAATCACCGGCACAATACGTTCTTCGGTCTGCTTCTTTTCTTTATAACTCGGGAATTCCAAGTCAGGACTTGCTTCGTGATTCAGTTCAATGATTTCCGCTAAACGTCTTATCCACCTACAGCATCTTCTCATAATTCTCGCTTCAGCTGAAAGCTGGTTTGTTCTCTGCCACGGTAGGCAGCTGCTAATGGTATCCGACCAGTGAATCGGAAGTTTCTTGTGTAGACAATGGTTGCAGTAATTCTTTGCCCAGAGCCTTTTTAAGGTTACTGCAGGTTCCAAGCCTGAATAAAAGACTAGACTTAGGCATGGGGTTAGCAAGCCTCATCTATAGAAAAGAACCTTGCTGAATAATCCGGATCAAAACTATTGGATACAAACTCAATTTTTTTCGAAATTATTCAGTTCATCATAGCATATGATTTTTTATGATCTAATACCCCATGTGTTTATTGAGGGTTAGTTTTGAGAAGTCATAGTTAGTAGTAAAATATCTATTCAGACTTTTTGATTATACTTTAATAGACGTGACTTACAATGGAAATTATCTTCACAATGAAATAAACATTAAAAAAATCACTCATGTAAAGTGATTGTTCAATGGATTCAGCCGTTATTTAACCAACATTACGCTTTCATGAATGAAAAAATTGATGAAATTGGGAGTAGAGAATTGTTAAATGGATGAACTTAATGGAATTCAAATGAATGGATTAAAGGATATTAGAGCATCGAAAAGTTCTATAGGATTATATCACTATCCATTAATATTATTCATATTTAACATTTCTAAGAGATTTGAACTTTTTCCTCTCTTTGATACATTCAAATTCAATATGAGGCATAATTTAACATTTATCAATCAGAATGAGTAATAGACTATTCTCTTTAGGTCATGATTTGTGCCTTGTAAAACTGAGCTATTTACAATGGCTTAATCATTGAGTAGTGAATAGTGTCATGTTTATTTAGTCTTTGAGTACTGATTGAATTCAACCTATCAAGTTTCAATGTGAGCGCTAGTCTGAGTGACTAAATATTGAGTGCCCTGTTTTCAAACTTTAGATGGTTAGAAGTAGTCTACACAGAATTGTGGATCTGACATCTTAACATACTATGCTCAATTTTAAAGCACTCAAATTAGTGTCTACTTTGTAACTTGATATACAACACATAAAGGACTAAATGAATATGCCATTGGTAATTACCTAGTAATCAATTGATTGCCAACCTTTACACATTTAATTGGTATTTATGAAAACATTCCCAATATTTTATGGAAATAAAACTCATTCAACACAGGGATCATAAACATATTAATTCGTTTCTTTTATTGTTCTTTTCAACAATTTTCAGTGGCTGCCGAAAGTTTTGATCCAGAAAAAGACAGTGATGATAATAATGAAGAAGAGAGACAAATTTATCCGAAATCTGATAGTCAACGAGCTAGGCTAACTAATGCTGTCAAAGAAATCCTACTCTTTCGATGTCTTGATGAAGTAAGTCGGAGCTGTTTTCCTTTTATTATTCATACTATAGCAAATCAATCTGAACAATAACATGGTAATACAATCAAAAGGGGATGTTGTGGATAGTATAGTAATTTTAATAGTTGAGATCATGAGTCAATTGAAGCTAGACGACCATGGAAAATCTGGAAGCACTAGACGACCGTTTCGTTCTAGTATGTGACTTCTCAGCAGTGCGAATTCACAATCCCGCCTTGCTAGATTCAAAGCAGTGACCAGTAGGGTTCAACCGTGTCTGTTGTAAGATAGTAACTTATTGAAGACAATGGTGGATGTGTTATTCAATTTCGTGGATTGGTTGAAGTTAGGTATAAACACCACTGGACACCGACCGGCTCAGTGATCTAATGGTTAAGCGCTGGCGCGCGAGATTGATAGGTCCTGGGTTCGAATCCGACGAGACGGGATCGTAGATATACGCTTCTGAGATGTCCCATACTAAAAAGAAACAGCCGTCCATTTCTTTTAGGTTTTCCATGATAGTCTAACTTTAATTAATTGATGTATTCAATTATCAAATTACTATAATATCCACAAAACTCCACTCTAAATAATTGTATCTTCTATCACTTGTTTACTTGTTATAAATCTTGCATTTATTTCTCTCTTTTCATAATTACATTACAACATTATTTAAATATTATTTATCTTTGTTTACAATCAACGTTTCACTGACCTTAATCTAAGAAAAGAAATAAAGGACAAATGAGGCTTAGAAATTGAATTAATTAACACATTTTAGCATATCATAGATATATTTTAAAGATATTAGAAGAAGAAGAAGAAGAAGAGAAGAAGAAGAAGAAAATCTTATTCAAACTTGGATTCTCTATTAAGATAAACGGATCATTTTCTCTTTGTTAATGTGTTTCTGAATTCATTGTTGGTTTAATTCATATTCCATTTTCTTCTATTTTGTATATCTTGATTAAACAGCACTTCTTTTGTTAATATATATAAGGGAGAAAAACATGTAAACATGACCTTCTGATAGATTCATGAATAAATATAGTTATCGATAGATGAGAAAAAACTATCCTTATGAAGAAACATATATACATGTTTCATTAAAATCTATTAAGGAGAAATTAAACATTGAAGAGGATCTTAAACTTGTTTTGGTTTCAATGAAGACTCTTCAGAAGTACACAATAATAATGGACTAGATTTAATGTTGTTAGAATTTATTTAAATCATGATATTATTCTATGACTGAGTCGAAATATAATGACCCATACATACATATAAAACACAAGAGTTATGTTATGTCACTAGTGAGAGACATTCACATTGATCTATGACTATGAGATCTTGAAGTCCATTTGCGATGTGTTATATGAGATCAGTTTTAATAATTTGTATTCATTCATTTTATCAATAGTGAAATGTTCAGATATGTATAAAAATGTAAAGATTTTTTTGTATATGATGACCGCAGATTGAATGAATTAGTATCAGATAGTGAATTTCTGATGACGATCTCTTGATTTCAATAGTTAGAACTTTATTTCATATTATTATATAATTCCCTGTGAACAATAATGGTTAGGCTGTTTCTCTCCAAAATGCCCTGATACGGCCTAGGGTGGAGAAAATCCACTCTCCCCCTCGAAATGCTCTCACACAGCCACGCGTATACAGCTTCTGTCAGGGAAATCCTACCCGCTACCTTCTCGTGGTGGGTGTGTTGTTTACGGAGTTGAGAGGACGAAAAGCGAATGTCTGGTGCTTTAATCGGGTTGAGGGACACGGACAGTCCACCTGGAGGAGTTGGAAAACCCTGATTTCCAACTAACGGTGCACATAGCCTCTAGGATCCTGAGGGAACAAATAGCGTATAAACCAATCGTTGGTCATCGGCTACCATGGAACTGCATCTCCTGACATTACTTCAGTGCTTTGTGGATTAGACCTTCAAGTCAAAAGATCAAGATGTGGCCCCCTAAGAAAACCACCCGCTTCTGTTTGGGCACCCGGGTAGTATCTCAGTCCTCACACAAATCGAATGATTTATGTGGCGCATATCTGTTAGGTGTCTCCATGTATCAATGTTTATGTGCTTAAATAAATCTGTTAGGCTGTTTTACTAATTTATCTATTTTAGTAAAGTTAACTCAAGACATTAAGGTTTTTCATGTACTACGTTATTACTCGACCATTGAGTTAAAAAACGATTGTTCTAATTCCTTAATTCCATGTATTTTGAAAAATAGATAAATCAGTATACCAAGCTACTATTGGTCAACTGTCAGTTCATAAAAATGTCTTTGAATATGTGTAATTAGTCAATCCTATATATGTATTTTTATCCAAAAAATGCATAATTATGGACTTATAACTGTAGAGCCTAATGGTGAAGTTATTAAAAGCAAGTGTTCTCTCAAATATTCTTAATTTTTTGAATATTCTATTGGGATTTTTAAACTGCTAATTTCGTTTTATCAGTACGAAGTTGTGAAGATTATTAAGTTTCTGATTGACATCATGAACTGATTGATGTTAGACTACCACTGAAGACTGCCGTTTCGTCCTAGTGCGGGACTCCTCAGCAATGCGTATTCACGATCCTGCTTGTGGCATTCAAACCCAGGGCCTTCGGTCTCTCACGCGAACGCTTAACCCCCAGACCACTGAGCCATTTTATGAAATTATCAGAGGACTTGATAAATAAACCGACAATAAATGTACACTTCAAAAGGTTCTTAACCACTTCTTTATTTTTTGAAGAGTTGAGACCATAATTTATGGACAAGCTTTGAGCAACGCTAAACTAACCTTGAAAATCAGATTTACGATAACAGGTCATCTATTTGACTAAATAGCGTGTTCACATTTTAGCTCGTGATAAAAACGCCAAATTTAATTCCTAACCCTAACCATTAACTGTGAATCAAACCCTTATTTAGCCCTAATATATATGTGGACATTCTCAAAATCAGTTTAGCATCGCTCAATGGTCATTCATACATCATAGTCTCATCCAGATAACTTGTTGAAATATTTAGATGGCAAGAACAAGTAATCCAAATATTTCAAAACAGATTGATTTTCAATTTTCACTTAATGTAATTTATTTATGTTTACCAGGTAATTGATTTTTGTTTATTTTCTAGAAGTGGAACACATTCCAATGTTTGTTTACTTATTTGTTTGTATTTTTAAACGAATTGAATTCAATCTCTAAAGAAATGCTATTGAACATTCTCAAAAAATAATAAACTTACTTAGAGATTATGAAAATCCAGTAAAAGTAAACAACCCTCAGTTGTTTGTTTGTTTGTTTGTTAGACAGTTTATGAAATACATCGAGATAAATAAACATTCTCCATGGTACAAATAAAAGGCACACCTCAACTTTTACTTTTTCACTTATTAATGGAAATGATGTGCTTTACAAATTAATGTTGTGAAGAATAATTGAATAGAGAATATTTAAGACTTATATGTCAATTTAAAAAGAAGAAAGTATAGCGAGTATTATCATTATTATTAGCAGTAATAGTAATTTGGTGTGCACTACTTATGTTGAGAGATATAAGTAGTATATAACATCAATCGAAAGTGAAGTGCCTAAATACAGACGGTCGAAAAGGAGAGAACGAGAACTTAAGATGATTGGTATAGAAATGAAGGAGCAATGAAATCTGAGACAGCTGATCGACATTTTGCAAATGAAGTATTTACTTTATGATTCTGTAATTTTGTATTGAAATACATTCGATTGTACCCACGGGTGCTCTCGTTCACAACAGTAGTAGTATTGGTAAACTTCACCCTGATATTCTGGTTACATAAATGTCTTAATGATCTTCTCTTAGTATCCATGATACCTAGTTTAACCTAGGTTTCTTGCCAGTTACCACTTGTGAAGAAGATGTACTGTTAATTGTCAGGGAACTAATAATCACACATAAGGTTCAAACAGCTTGTCGATAAAATCTCACACTGTCAAACTGAGCGACTAGAATTCAAACTTAACAGGTGTAAATTAGTTTCTTTAAGATTACAGCCAAGCATATTTAACTGGTATCAAGTAGCACGAAACCTAGGTCAAACATTGTTTCTGATCCAGCTAACCTAAACTACCTAACATCTAAATCAAATCAATTAAGTTAGTGACTATACCGAAAATTGATATGTAGACCTTGATTAACTGTTAAAGAGAACTGGATGAACAATAAATTTAAAAACATAGCTGATAAAAGCACTTGATTCTTCATAATTCACATAATGGACTTGTAGTGGCTGGTACTATTTCAAGCCCATATAGGTTATTCTAGCCCCTGAACAGATCAATCTATTTATTCTTCTCAAGCTATATTTTGACCTTGTTAATCATTCACTTATCAACCTTGACTGTTTTTATGTGAGCGTATGCGTGTACACTTTTCATGCTACTCATCACATGTCCGGAACTTATTTTTATCTGACTACAAATAATGATTAACGCTTGATTTAAATCGGGTTGGTTTACATGCTTCATCTACCGTGCGTTATTTCGCTCCGTTTTTCCGATTGTTTGTCGTGACCAACGATTGTATGAAATACTCGTATTCGAAATTCGTTCTCGTATTTGACTCATTTAATTCCATCCTTCACCAACGCGAGCCAAGTCGATAATTATATGCGAAGATTGGCGGAATGTGTATTTCAATAACAATTATTCATAGGATCTAACTGGAGTCTGATCTCGGGCCACTAAAGACTAATTATAGTTAGACAATATTGCAATATTGCAAATTCGTCAAGGTGAGACTTGTAAACTACTGGGTCCAAACTCATTGCTTTAAAGGTTAAGCAGTCAAAGAGAAACCTGAATGTTCTTCGTTTCATCCGTAGTTGGGTTGTGGACGCTCACTTCTTAAGAGTTCTGTGCTGTGACGAAACAACTATCCAGTTCAACATGATCTTCAACGTATATCTATTAAACATTGTTCTGTGATATAAACCAAGAAAATTTAACAATCTCAACAAATCCCTATAGCTATAGAACTCAATTTAGTTAACGGTTATTCGTAAAGCTTAATTTATAAGTAATCAATAGCATCTTCAAAACGATTAATTGATAATCAGTCTAACATTTTCTTTTCTATTCGAAATGTTTCTCTAAAGAACTATTCTACTATATTTATCTTCAAAGGTTAAACTAATTCTCTCTTTCCTTTTTTATATGAAGTTACCTTTTTTAGTCTAATAAGTGATCAAAGCCTTCAATTAGAATGGACTTTTATTTTCAACTACAGAAAATTTATCAAATATATATAATCAGAATGGGGAGTTTGTGGAGATTGTAGGAACCTTAGTAATTGATTTCATGAGTCGATTAAAGCTGGACCACCATTGAATACCTAGAAGCACCAGACCGCCATTGGATGCTGGCTTAGTGGTCTAGAGGTTAAGAGTTCGCATGCGAGACCAAAGGTCTTGGGTTTGAGTCCCGATGTGCGGGATCGTGGATGCACGCTGTTGAGGAATTCCATACTAAGACGAAACAACCGTCCATTGCTTTCAGGTTTTTAATATTTCTAGCAAACTAATCCATAACCCTGTTTTCATCCTATTTACAATTAGTCAGTTCAGTGTGCCTGTATCCTAGTATTATCTCGGAGATTCGAAACCAATGCCTGTTTTATTCAGACCTTCAACGCATTATCAACACTAAGATGCAGGTAAATACAGCTGATGAGTCCCAAACAGAACAAAAAGCTAGTCTCCACTTAATAAAGCTATCGAAACAATCTGTTCAGGTTGTGTGTAAGTTAAAAAGTGACTGATCAAAATTCAGTCTTTAGCATCAACAACGGGAATATTTAAGCACTTACCAATCAATATTAGCAAATGTATCCTTAAAAAAAACGTGAATCAGAAGTTAGTACACCAAATGACATAGGTCATCTTTATCTATTCATGATTTATACTTAAAACTTCAGTCCGGAATAAAGTCAACAGTTTCATGCACTTAGTTTCCTTCATGAATTTAGATAAAGCTAGAATAAACATTAATGCAGAATCATCATAATAATAAACTCAATAGACTGTCGAAGAAAACCTTGTCTTCTAGTATGGTTCCTGTACGACCTAATGATAACACTCAAGTAAACAAAACATTCAACAGAGTTTACATAAACCCACTAAATATAGATCTCTTATAAACAAAATAAATTCATACAAAACATAAACGAATCATGTGATTATGTAACACTTTTTCTGATTTTACAAACTGATTAAATAGAAATCAAACATCATTGTTTTCTATGGTGATCTAATTCTTGTACAATATAATTTCATATACTAAGTTTTACTCTTAGTGTAAGCATTAAATTTTGACCATTTTTAATTTGTATCCGAAGGGGTTTTGTGGAGATTGTAGTTAATTGAAGCTAGATCACCATGGAAAACCTGGAAGCACTAGACGGCCGTTTGGTTCTATCGTGGAACTCCTCATCAGTGTGCATCCACAATCCCGCCTCACGAGATTCGAACCCAGGATCTATCAGTCTCGGGCGCGAGCGCTTAATCACCATAAAAATATGAGGAGAATTTTTGACTAGTGTTAAACTTGAATAAAAGGTATGAATAAAGAAGAAAAATGAGTCGAAGCACATCTTGTTTAAAGTTAATTGACATAAAGATCTAAAGCAAGGCATTGTGTCAGTTATTACTTACTAGCATGAAATAATCGTAATGTTTTAGAAACTAAGCTCGATTCAAGATACAAACTAGAATCGTTTAATGTCAACGCGATATTACTCTTTAAATATTCAGGCCAGTTAGTGTAGTTTTTCTTGTTTCTGTTTCGAAAACAGAAGCTATCGAGAATACATAATGATAAACCAAATTTGTAACATATATAGTTACCAGATGGGCTTTGTGGATATTATAGTAATTTCAATGGTTAAGATCATGAGTCAGCTGAAGCTAGACCACCATGGGAAACCTGGAAGCACTGAACGGCCGTTTCGTCCTATTGTGGGTTACATTTATAATAAACTTAATTTGTACCTTGATCTTGACTTGTCAACATTGTAGTTATAAATAATAGTCATTTCTAACAATAAATTAATGAGATAATTCACTCATATTTTGATGTTCTACTTTTTAATTTAAGGAACAAAAGTCGAGAGTTATCGATGCTATGCAAGAAATGAAAGTTAAAGAAGGTGATGTAGTCATTAAACAAGGTGATGATGGAGACAATTTCTATGTAATTGAATCGTAAGTTAGCTAAATTTTATTGTGGGTTTTATTTGACTATATTTTAAATAACCTGGTTATTTGTTGAACGTTACAGGAATATTCAATTAATGTTGATGACCTAATGTGTCACTAAAAATACAAGAAACTTCAGCCAACAGATGCAGTGTTTCCTTTTAAGTTTTCCAAGATAGAGAATCCCGAGTAGCTTGTAAACACTTCGGTACATACAGTTAGAATTTGAAACTATTCAGTTCAAACCGATGTAGAAGAAAAGACTTAGCTGAAATATTTGAGAATTTTAAAAGCTGTATGCCCAAACTTTATAAGCAAAGATGGATAATGGCTAGCAGTGGAATCCAGGGACTATTCAGTTGATGATCCATTTAGCTATTGAATCCTGATAGCCACCTGCTTGTGTAATTGGGTGAAGTTTTAAATTGGTTTGATGGTAAGATACAAGTAAACAACATCAAGTGAATGTATGCCCAAACATTTAAGTGTGCCACCAACATTCGTTGAATAGTCAAAGGTATATGACTAGCAAGGAATAAATAATGTACAATATACATTTAATGACGCAATACATAAACAAAAGGATAGCATAAGAATACCAGATATCATAAACAACTGTTTCGTAACATGTTCAGCATGTAAGTGAAAATACATAGTCAAAGTATCTGCTGTACAACCATTCTGTTATCCAATAGTATTATGTTGGGGAGATCCAGAAAACTCCTCGAAAGAAGTCAAGAAAGTCTCTGAAAACACTGAGAAGCGTTCAGTAGAAGTTTCGCCAAAAACATCAAAAAAGTGAAAAGTCATATGTAGAGTTTCTGATTGGAAAATTACTACACTAGTACTATGTTTAGTAGCATTCCAGAATTTTAGGAGAACACAAGGACATCTAAAATACTATAAAAACCTTATATTTTCTGTACATAAATGAACCTTTGGAGTAAAGTGTTTATTACATATTTCGCGCCTTTTCCGTCGTGTTCAAGTCACTGTGTAAGCCTGGGGCTTACCAGAAAAGCTTAGGAACAGAATATAGTGTTCAATTAGCAAGACTTATCATATTAGATGTTAAATGTTGGAAACATTTAAAAAATTCATTTTGAATAAAACTACAGAGAATTCAGCGGATTAAGGTTTCTTTTCGACGAAGTCATTTACTTAAGCTGTACATTCATATTTATAATTGTTTGCTAAGTATATGAGTCTATAGAAAGATAGAAAAGATTGCATTATTAAGTTATTCGAGATTTCATATATCAAATGACGTTATGTAATAATCAGGGGCATAGGGAAGAACAGGAGGATGAAAATAATTTACGGGTCAGTATTATGAAAGATAATTGTCCACTTGACAGATATGAAGAAAAATAAATAAGGAATTGAATAATGACCATAAGAAATAGTTAAGGATTTGTAGCTCAGGTGGATGATTTTGATGTGGAGTTTTGTTCTCTATGCTGGATGTTTTGGTCGTAGAGATTTCATCGTCCTTCTGAACGACTTCTATCCGAAGTTTGTGCTGATGATGTTGTTCAGAAGAACGATGAAAACTCCACGACCAAACCATCCAGCTCAGAGAACAAAACCCCATTGAAATTGTTAAACGATAATAATTACCGATTACCACTTAAAATGGCAAAACACTAATTTTAAATAAATACAGGACCAAATTATACTTCAGAAGGGAATTAAAGCCAAAAAAGGGTGAGAGCTTATACGTATCGATTTTGCATTCGGAATTTAGGCTTGAATCAGTGGATCTCCAACGCCTCAGCAGTACATAAGTGTTTTATTCGGTGTCCAATTTATTATGTCCCTTCGATTGCTTAGATTTTTCTGAAGAAAGGCTCCTTGGGAGCAACGTATTCAGAGTTGAACAGGTGCTCCTGCATTGAACTGGTGATATCTTTGTATTCCCTTATCAAAAGCCATACCTGGTTATGTTCTGAGATGCGTTTAGAAAGTGATCACTTCGTGCAGTCAATGTAAACTGCCCCACCGTAACAAGTAAACTTATAGATGCACATCGATGTGACCCGAAGCAGAAGTTTATCCTTAACATATCCGTGAGTGGTAGACCGGGTTGAAAAGACAATACAAAGCTTAGCTGAATAGAGGGCTTTACTCAGGAATTTTGAAATCCAGTTATTCAAGATTTCGGCATCCTTATCTCCATTAAATTCGATATTCAGAAAAACACTTTTCTTTCGAACTGTCGGTTCTTTCCCAGGGTGTTGTCTTGGTGTTAAGTTCCTATTGATAAATCTAGGTGAATAACCACTTCTGATGAGTATCTGCCAAAGTCTCAATAGTTCGTCATCTATTATTTCACTATGACATATTTACCTAGTCGTCGAGGATAAAGAATAAGTTGTTTCGCTTTCTTCGCAATGAGACAAAGCTATGGAAATTCGCATACTTACCATTCCAGGTTAGTCTTTTACACATAGATCTCTGTAAAGAACCATCTGATCTCCTTTTCAACCAAACATTTAAAAAAATGAAATTCCTTATTCGCGTGCGCTTCTCATGTGAATTGAATTAGGTGATGACAATTATTGAATCGGTTCAAAAGTTCATTGAGGTCCATATCTTCACAAACAATAAACGTATCATCCATATATCTTCTATATAAATGAAATATCTCAATTATTACTTGATGTACTGTATTTTCTAGATTGGTTATGAAAAAATTATTCAAGAGAGAGCCCCTTGGTGAACCCGTTGCAACCCCATCAGTTTATCGATGAAATCATCTTTCCACCATTTATATGAATATTTCAAATTGAGTAGACAAAATCAAACAGATCAAAATAGTTGTGTCTATCGATATAATTTTTAACGATTTGTAAAATCTCAGCCAACCATTTAGCAATCAAATGTTACGTAAAGCTATTCATATCAACAATAAGACATATGGGGGTATTCTACCAATAAACTTTCGAGAGTTCATATAGTCTCGGTATAGCGGAACCCAATAACCCAAAAATGTTGTGTAGAATCCAAACTAAGGTTTGGACTGAAGAATAACTGTCTAGGTAGTTTAAACCAAAAAACAAGGTGATTGGGTATATGACGGTTCTAGATTTCATTATAAATGTAAATGTACATTATTACTTAAACAGATATTACCACCGAGTTATTTAACCAATAACTGTTCAATCAATCAAATCTGATTTACAATAAATAAACAAGTTGATTAAGGATGCGAGAAAATTATCAATCGCAACAAATAAATGTTATTCTATCCTTTCTGGATAGACCACGCACTGATTCGTTCAAAAGATAATATTTGGTTGCTTTATAACACAGAGTGTTTCCAATTCTGGAATAGTGCTTCAATTCACAATCAAAAATGCACGATTACAGTCAATGCAATCAACGCAATCAAAGGAGGAACAAATCAATATGGCTGCTGCCAAGACTAAGTATCAACTAAAACAACATAAATGAAGTTCAGAAAGAAACATGAAAACTCAATGAAAGCGTAAGGAAAACAAAAATTACAATAAAATACAAATATTGCCATCTCAAATGGAATCAAAAAGACTAATAAAATGTACAACTGAAGGAATCAATAGGAACAAATTAAAAGTGTATAAATGGAGGGATTTTCACAAACAAGATCGTCAAAATGGATCTTACATGTTCATCCATTGGCCGGATACCATCAGCAACAGCCTTCTTTGGGAGAGAACAAACTAGCTTCCAGCTGAAGACGAAATTAGGAAAAGATGATAGAAATGGATAGGACATACATTACGCAAATCATCAAACTGCATCACCAAACAAGCCTTAAATTGGAATCCTGAAAGGAAGCGGAAAAGTGGAAGGCCAAAGAACACATTACGTCTGGAAATAGAATCAGATATAAAAAGGATGAATAACAACTGGAAAGAGCTGGGAATGATTGCTCAGGACAGTCTTGGATGGAGAATGCTGGTGAGCGGCCTACGCTCCCTCACGAGGAGTAACAGGAGTAAGTAAATAAGTAATGTTCAAATAAGTCACAATTGAAAATAGACCTATTTTTCATCTTCCTTAAAATCCTAGTTAACATCCTCCCATATGATTTTTTTACAGCATTTTTCGACATTCGAATATATCGAAGACATCAACGCTTAATTTCATCATAAGGTTCATCAAACTTTCTTTAATAAAATCAGTTTATTTACCTTAACAGGTTTTGTGTTTTCCTTCCTTCAAATCTTGCAATGTTTATTGACAATTGTAAACAAGATTGATGTAATCTCAATCCTACCATTACTCTTTACAAATATTATTTAAAGATTCACTTGGTATTGTTTGGTTTGTATTTTCCCATTGAGGTTCAAGACTGCAATTGATCAGTCTGTTATTGACATATGTGCATACTGTGCGTATGCCTCCATACTGCCTTAATTCACAAGCTTTTTGTAAGCAATGATGGATAGTGGCTAAAAGTGAGAACAGCCTCCGGGTGGGCACGAACCACCAACCTTTCGGTTAACAGCCGAATGCGCTAACCGGTTGCGCAAAGCTTATAAATTAAGGCAATATCAAGACATACGCACAGTATGCACACACACCAACAACAGACTGATCAATTGCAGTCTTAAACCTCAATGAGAAGATACAAGCAAAACAATACCAAGCGAATTTAAATTCACCCCATTGCACAAGCAAGTGGCTATCAGGACTCAGCAGCTGAGTGGATAACGCGATGGCGCTTGAGGCGGACGGTACTGGGTACGAGTCCCAGAGTGAACATCAACTCTGAGATGCAGGTACATTCAGCCGACCAGTCACAAATAGGACGAAACGCGCGTCCTGGATTCCACTGCTAGCCACTATCTATCATTGCTTACAAAAATTATTTAAAGATGTTTATCTCTTAAACTGAAAAAAAATAGGTTGGATATTTTGTTTTTCGTTTTGGAAAAATACTCAAGACATGGTTGTTTTTATGATGTATATGTTTGGGTTTCTTTGATTATGCGCATGGACATTTGTTTAAACTTGAGGAAACGAAACTTGTAAACAATTATATACATATATAACGAAGTAAATACAGTCAAAGGGTAAATTATTCAGTTCTGATTAAACATAAAACAAAATATCATTAGTGAAGAAAATTCTTTTCAATAAAATTCTCTTTACGCTTTTTGAGATGATGGAGGAGATTTGTTGTTCAGGTGGATGATTTTGATGTGGAGTTTTGTTCTCTGAGCTGAATGGTTTGGTGGTGAAAATTGGATCATTCTTCTGAATGACATCATCAGAACAACTTCAGGTAGAAGTGAAGTTTGTGCTTGTTGTGATGTTGTTCAGAAGAACGATGAAAGCTTCACAACCAAACCATCCAGCTTAGAGAACAAAACTCCAACAAAATCTTTACGCTTTGTTTTAACATGAAATGATGTTGATTTGTAAATTTAAAGACATTAGACCAAGTAAAGTTATTTACTATATGATTTGGTATAAAATGATTGTTTCCGGTAACTTTTATTTGTTTATCAATACTTTAATCAATGATTAGGGATTGCTCTAATAAGATATGAAATATCTAATAATCACTAACTTGAAGTTGAACAAGCCGAACAAAGCAAATACATAGCTTCACTTTATTACATTCGTTTATTGATTAGCTTATGACAGATAGAACTAATTAGAGCAATAGGAAACGGGCTATCATATTCCGTAGCACTTTTCAAACAAGTTTTTTACAAAGGAAAGGCTATGGATATCGGAGTCTGTAACCGTCGTCTTAGTATTGAAAAGAAATTTATAATACTTCTTTAACTTTCTAGAACACAGAAAGCTTTATAAACAACGTTGCTTAATTTCAGTCCTTCGCCATATTCTCTTCTTCACTATTCAGGTATTTAAACATTGATTATTTACACAGTTCATATGTCAGTATTAAGCAACTTCTAACGGTCATTCTTTCTAAGATTTCTTCTCGTGTTTCACCTTAATTCGAATATTCGATCATGTTTGTCATACTGTTATCACGATTTTTACTACTACTACTCACACTACTACTGCTATCTAACCGTAAATCTCCATCAGCTGAAGTGTTTGGAGTATGTGTTATGTATGCCCTACCGGAATCTACCTCAACTGGCGATTTTTATTCGGCGGCGGAATAGACTGAACGGCCGAGATGGTAACAATAAGACATGGTATCAGTTCATGAAGTTATTGATTGTTTTTCTGAGCTACTTATATAAGTGTACACTACTTGATTAAAGACTTTGAGTGATTTGTCTCAGAAATGTTCTCAGCTGTATAGGTAAATTCACTCTGTATCTTTTTCTTAGATCCTAAACCTCTCAATTATTCATAGATTCATATTTCTTTCTTCAATCAAATCTGTTGTCGTTAATACTGCTACTGCTTATACGACCCTGGCATTTCGTTGTGCTAATATGGAAGGACAAACTGACCTAGTCCGTATATGTCCAAGATTCTATGCTGCATATGACTGACTGTATATAGGAGTAAAGCCTTATGAAGATCCAACTGAATATAATCATATTCTTACATTTGCTTTATCCTAACTTAACTACTGGGAAATTTTAATATTTTGAAATAAAATACTTGCATCAGTACAACAGAAATACTGTAGTCTTATATTTCTTACAAAAAACTTATATGGATTATTCATATTACATTGTATTACATATTTAATATTTTTTATATACTGTAGAGGCACCTATGATATATATGTTAAACAGAATCAGTCAACTGAAGAGAAAATTGGTGAAAAAGTTGGATCATACAATGGTCATGGTTCATTTGGTGAACTAGCTTTAATGTATAATACATCACGGGCTGCTTCTATAATAGCTACTACAGATGGTATACTATGGCTTATGGATAGAAATACTTTTCGACGTATTGTTCTTAAAGCAGCCTTTCATAAACGTCAAACATATGTAGAATTGCTTGAGGATATTCCATTACTTAAAGAATTAAGTAGTTATGAACGTACAAATGTAGCTGATGCTCTACAATCTAGAGTATATCAAGATGGAGCAACTATTATATCTCAAGGTGAAACTGGCAAAGAAATGTTTATTATTGAATCGGGAACTGTAAGAATAAGTGTAAAAGAGGTAAGATTGAATAATGTTTAATGTAAATATGACCATACGATAATTGTAAAAAAATTACATCAGTTTCCTTAGTACTGACTTTATAACCAAAAAAACTAATTGTTCGAAGAAAGTAACTCGTTCGTCAAGAACAGATTTATGTTTTTGTGGCCAGGGATCTGACTCCAATTAGATCAAACGAATGAACGTTATTGAATGATTGTTGTCGAAATATACATCCTGACTATTCTCGTATATTTTTATCGACGTAGATTGCGTTGTTGAATAACTAAATTAAATAAGTCAAATACGAGAATGGATATTTGAATACGTATATTTTGTAAACTCATTGATTTGAACAGTCAATCAGAGAATCGCAGAGAATGAAGCGAAGAAGAGAGAGCGAAGCAAAACAAACAGACGCACAGCGGAGAAGACGTGTAAACCAACTGCATTTATTCGTCACACAAAAATAGGCTACAGACATGTGATGAGTAAGGCAATTAACTAGCACACATACGATCATATAAATACAATCAAGGTTAACAAGCGAATAATTGACAAGGCTAAAATGTGACTCATTAGGAATGAATAAATTGATCTGTTTGGAAGCTAGAATAAGTTATATGCGCTTAACATAGGAACTGATACTACAATGTACTCGACTTTGAGCCACATAAGGGTTCATGACGTTATCTGGCTGCTTAGATCAAAGTTGAGCGAGGTTGGCACCTGTAATTTCTTGCTAAAAAGGGAAGATGTTAACCCATCTTTCCACTTTGTAATCTCTGTCCTCAAGTTGAATGCACGGTTGTTGTTTTTTTTCAGATAAATTCAGGCCACATCTCATATCAAAAACACAACTAAAATTTGCATAAATTGTAAATAACTAAATATCTAAAGTTAGTATACATGTGACACAGTTCGGATTCTTCCTAGTATAGTTTAACTTTAAAATTTTGACCATTACATCCTTATACTAAGATCTACATTAGTGTTATTTTTCTGTATACTTGGAAGCATGCATAGCACGAAGTTTGGAATCATTTCCAACTCTATAATGTTGAATTATTTCAAAAAATTGATACTTAAATAAAGAAATATCACTTCAGATAACTTCCTATATCAAATACAGCTCATTTGATGTAAAAATCTCCCATTCTGTTATATTATTGGACATTGTTGGTTAGATTGAATCTTCCCTTCTCAAATAAACATTAATTCACTTACAAGCTTGAATATTCAAACTATTAAGATATTAATGTATGGTTATTTAGAAAATCCAAAAATGCCTACTGAATACTAAAATATCAGTAGTAAATACAATATAATTACCTTAATTAAATTATCCAAATTACGTAAATTTAGTTGATTGATAGAAAAACAAGTCTAAATAAGTTTTTGTATTCATTAAATAAAGTTTACTTTATGATTTCTACTATAGAATTCAAAAGAAGTGGAATTGAGTCGAGTTGGTAAAGGTGCTTATTTCGGAGGTATGATACATTATTATTATTATTATTATTATTATTATTATTATTATTATTATTACTATTATTATTAATGACCCTATTCAATATTATAGTTTTCGGTACAGTGTGGAATTCGCAGCATAAAGTATTTCAACAAGTTTCTGTTTCTTATTTCTTGATCGATATTGTCGATAAATATTGAGTGATCACCAGTTAAGTGTTATCAGTTCAAGAATCGACATCTGAATAATGTACAATTCTCTCGAACGCATATTGTCAGACACTAAAATGTCTGTGATTATACTTTTTTGTAACTTGTACAGAGAAAGGTTGTATACTTTTGATAAACGCTCTTGAATAGGTTATGCGATTACTAGATATAATGATGTGTTAAAACAAACAAAAAGAACATGTTGAAATATTCTGATGGTAGTAACAAGTAGTCGAAATATTCCAGCAGACTGCCAACCTCCGTGCCGTTACTTACTTACTTACTTACTTACTTACGCCTGTTACTCCTCGTTAAGAAGCAAAGGCCGCAAACCAGCATTCTCCATCCAACCCTGTCCTGGTCAGTCCTTTCCAGCTTCTTCCAGCTGTAATTCATCTTTTTCATATCTGTTTCTACTTCCCAACGTAATGTGTTCTTCGACCTTCCTCTTTTCCGCTTCCCCTCAAGATTTCAATCTAGGGCTTGTTTTGTGATGCAGTTTGATGATTTGCGTAGTGTATGTCCTATCCATTTCCATCGTCTTTTCCTAATTTCGTCTTCAGCTGGAAGCTAGTTTGTTCTCTCCCACAAAAGGCTGTTGCTGATGGTATCCGGCCAATGGATGTTGAGTATCTTGCGAAGACAGCTATTTATAAATACTTGTACTTTCTTGATTGTGGTTGTTGTAGTTCTCCAAGTTTCAGCTCCATACAGTAGAACTGCCTTGACGTTCGTATTGAAGATTCTCACTTTGATATTGGTTGAAAGTTGTTTTGAGTTCCATATGTTCTTCAATTGTAGGAATGCGACCCTTGCTTTGCCGATCCTCGCCTTTACGTCTGCATCGGATCCTCCTTGTTCATCGATTATGCTTCCCAGGTATGTGAAGGATTCTACATCTTCAAGAGTTTCGCCATCAAGAGTGATTGGATTGCTGTTCTCCACTTTGAATTTGAGGACCTTGGTTTTCTCCTTGTGTATGTTGAGGCCTACTGATGCAGAGACTGTTGCTTTCCGTACCGTTAATAGATGTAAATATAAAAGTGCCATATAAAGTAGTTTCATGTTAAAAAAAGAGAAATCGGATATAGTTATATAATAGTTGATAGTTGAATAAACGTTAGAAAAAACTCCTGACATTCTTTGAGATGAGAACTATTTTTACGAATATAACGATTATTATAGTTTACATGATAAAATTATTTTCGTTAGATAACGATTGAAAATCAGCAAACATTGGATGGTTGTTTCGTGTTAATAAACAACTTTCTAACAGTATGAATTTACAACGTCACTGAAGAATCAAGCCCAGTACCCTTGATTTTGAAACAAATGTTTAAAATAAATGTTAATGAGTCGGCGTCCAATCGACGTACTATAATGAACTCATGATAGTGATCAATCATTTTCTATTGTCTGATGTGAATAACTATTTTATACTTGAAATGGCCGAACTTCACAAATCATGTCTTCTTATCAGAATTTCTGAGATTACCTGTCAAAGTTAGTTACTAGTTCTCATAATAATGTATGTCTTTAAATGCAAATACATATTCTCATTCATTGAAATCCCTTAGAGAATAGTTGAAAACCTACAATTCTAGATAATTTTTCTTTTTCTTTTCGATTCGAAACTCTTTATCACTATTCATAATAATAGTAATTGGTGCCACTGAATAATGTTGACAGTAAAACATTAATTCATTCATAACAGTGATTAACCATTGTATAATATCATGAATTAGATGAAATCAAAAATGTGAACTTCTGGATTTTAATTCACTAAACCGAAGATAATCTTACGTGATCATTTCAATCTTATATAAGATTGTGAATGTTAAGATAGCTTTCCATTGTCTATTAGTTCTCCATGTGATGTTAATTTTTCACAAACTTCATCTTCAGAAGAAATAAACAATTATTTTTTGAAAAAAATTTACTTACTTACTTACTTACGCCTGTTACTCCTAATAGAACATAGGCCGCCAACCAGCATTCTCCAACCCACCCTGTCCTGGGTCTTCCTTTACAGTTCTATCCAATTCTGGTTCATTCTTCTCATGTCTATTTCAATTTCTCAGAGTATTGTGTTCTTCGGTCTTCCTCTTTTCCTTTGGCCTTGAGGATTCCATGTGAGGACTTGCCTTGTGAAGCAGTCAGGTGCTCTCCTCAGTGTGCGTCCTATCCACGTCCAGCGCCTCTTCCTGATTCCTTCCTCCACTGGGATCTGGTTTGTTCTCTCCCATAGTGTCTGGCCAACGGATCCGAAGTATTTTGCTTGAGTAACTGTTAATAAACACCTGTATCTTCTGGATGATGGCTCTCGTAGTTCTCCAGGTTTCTGCCCCATACAGTAGAACTGTCTTGACATATGTATTGAAAATCCTGACCTTGGTGTTGGTCGACAATTGTTTTGAGTTCCAGATGTTCTTCAGTTATAAATATGTTACTCTTGCTTTGCCCGATTCATGCCTTCACATCCGCATCAGATCCACCATGTTCACCAATCATGCTACCCATTTCTAAAAAAAGTAGACAAACATTATTTGACATTATCTGTTCTATACAAACAAATCAGTTTTTATCAGTTATAAAATATACAACAACAATTCAATTCATATGAATAAATACTAAAAATAACAATCTAGTTAGACTAGGTCAATGGAAAAGATAAGGCTAATTCAAAAACAAAAAGTCGGTGTAAACAGTTATGTATTTCCTTTTAATTATATATATTTATTTAAGATCTTTATTATGAATTATTTATGTGTTATGTCAAATTTGATTGATTAACCTTTTATCTAAGTAAATAAACATTTGGTACAAGCATCTATAGAATAGTAAGTTGTCAAGTTGAAAATATTTACTTAGACCTTCATGGAAAAATATAACAAACTTGATAAGTGATTATATAAGCTAATTTAACTTCAATTCATTTGGTATTGTGTTGTTGTGAACCACCTCGATATTGCTTTAAATCACAAGCTTTATAAGCAAAGATGAATAATAACTAACAGTGATGGAATCCAAGACGCGTGTTTCGTTCTATTTTGGACTCATCAGCTGGATTTACCTGCTCCCTACAATTGATGTTCATCCAACTGAAGAGTCTCAAATAAGATGAAACTCGCGTCCTAGATTTCATTGCTAACCATTGTCCATCTGCGTTAAGCTATACTTACTTAATTACTTACGCCTGTCACCTCTCATGGAGGAGCATAGGCATTCTCCATCCAAACTCTGTCCTGGTCAATCCTTTCCAGTTCTTTCCTGTTGGTATTCGAACTTTTCATATCTGCTTCCGATTCCTGACTCAGTGTGTTCTTTGACCTTCCTTTTTTTTTTCCCTTCAGGATTCCATGTTAGTGCTTACCTCGTGATACGTGCTAAGTTATACTATAGTTAAATATTTAAAACGTAGATATATAAACAAATAATATTGTATTCAATAAATTACTTCCAAGTTATGTAATTATATAATCAAATTAATAATCCCAAAAGTAATCAGGTTTAAGACAAGTACAATGTTTAAAATGATAGAAATGTGAATTTAGGATTGTTGGTAGAATAAAATGACATTATCAGCGAGAGACTGATGAACCTGAGTTCGAATCTCGCGGGGGGGCGGAATCGTAGACGCGCACTGCCGAGGAGTCTCACAGTGGGACGAAACGGTAGTCCGGTACTTCTAGGTCTTCCACGGTGGTCTAGCTTCAATTGACTCATGATCTCAACCATTGGAATCCCTATAATATCCACAAAACCCCTTCTGATATGAATCACGTAATAATTTAATGGTTGACTTCACCCCAAAACGGGACTCCTGAGCAGTGTGCATCCACGATTCAAACCCAGAACCTGAGGCCTCACGCGTGAACGCTTAACTTCTACATCACTGAGCTGGCATCCAATGGTGTTAATGTCTGACTTCAATGAACCCACTAAATTGTGCGACCGTCCACGATTGTCTTCAGTGAGTAACTGCCTCACAGCAGACAAGGTTTGACTCCATGGGTCAACTCTATTCTCTAGAACTCCAAGAAATAGATCTTGAAGCCAGGTACTAGTGAGCACATGATGATTATTTTCAGAATGAAGGTTTTGGGAAATTGTAGTAATTTAATGGTTGAATGCATGAGTCGATAATTACGCAATAGATGAATCATTCGAAAACTGTTAAATGTTTATTAAGACAACATAATTCATTTATTTCAGTATGTTAGATTTTATTAGTTTTCATACTGTCATTATCTAAGATGACTTCCTCCAAATATAAATCTGATTTTAAATGACTTTAAACATGAAGACTACGAATATTTGCATGTAATTAACATCTAGATTTTACCATTCATGTTGTCCAAGAATATAATTTATGAAGTAAGTAATTCACTAAATGAAATAACTATCATAAATCTTTTCTCTATTTTCATTAAATTTTCAAGAATTGGCATTAATTACCAAACGACCTAGAGCTGCTTCAGCTTATGCTGTAGGCGAGACTAAATTAGCGGGTAAGTGTTTAATGATTCAATGTTGTTTTTTCTTAAATATTACCTATATATATTCTGTAATTTATTCCTACCGACTGTTCGTATCTTTCTTATGGTGCTTAAGAATGCAGTTGATCAGGCTCTTTTTGGAAAATGTGTATTCTGTTCGGATTGCATCAAAAACACCATTAGGCCACAAGCAATCGGATCAACGAAGTTGGATGGTGACTTGTAATGGAATCTAGGACGCACATTTTGGACTAGTATATCCAACTGACGAGTTCCAAATAGGATAAAAAGTGCGTCTTGGATTTCAATGCTAGTCATCACCCAACTATCATTTATAACTGTTTGTTCTGTTGCTTTATTAATTATGTTCGTATTTCAATAGTTGAGACCATGTGTCAATTGAAGCTGGACCATCATGAAAAACCTGGAAGCACTGGATGGGCGTTTCGTCCTGTTGTGCAACTCTTCAGCATATTCATATTGTTGTGTAAACAGCAGAAAACTGTTTTACAAAAAATACTTATTGAAATACAATCTGATTTAATTATGATTAGATGTAACTATCAATTGTTTTGAAAACTTTCTAGCTCAGTAAGCGAAACCTCACCTAAATCATCCACTTGAGCTACATACCTTTTCCATATTAGTTCAACTTGTTAACAAGTCTTTCAGTAAATGTAATATATCCATTAAGGCATTAAATAGGAAAGATAGGTTCAACGAAGAGTTCTCTTCTCGGTGAATTCATTTTCAAAGCTGTACAATCGCAAATATATATACCTATCTTTTTTCAGGATGATAATAATTACAATAATAATGATAATAAACTTCTTTTAGACATGGTAACAGTGAGGTAGAATAAACAAAGGTATTTAAAAAGTATATTTATAAAAAAAGGGAAACTAATAATCGTTTGGTTGTTAAGGGTTTAGATTTTCCTCAAAAGATAGATAGGGAAATTATCATTGGGAAAGGATAGCTCAGCATGATAAGATAGAATGTTGAAATTGAGATTAAATGTAATCAGGAGGATCATAGAAACAGAAATAAACCAGTTGAGTGTAGAAGGATTAAAGAGAAAATGGAAGGAGAAGCGGTAGCTATAAAGGAATAACAGTATGAAAAGAAATTATAAGACATGAAGTCCATGGTAGAAGAAGAGGTTGTACCAATCTCTTTTATGGACACACAATTTCGGTTTTCCCAGATATATGGTTATTGCTTTGGCAATGCTAAAAATATGAGATCTAATTTTCTTTGGAAATCTTCTACTTACTTTGTAGATGACTTTGAACGCAGGGTCTGTCTTGATTGAGTGACCTGTGTTCACAAGGTGTTTGATTATTAAGCTTCATATTGAGTCGTTTCCTCTTCTTTGTGACCACGCCGGATAATGTTCTTGAATTCTTTTGGATAAACTACGCATCGAACGACCTATATACTTGGCTCCCTATGAGCACGTAAAATGGTAAATGCACATTGAGTTTGATAGATGAGATAATTTATCCTTAAGATTATTGGTGAACGATGATCGGCTGAAGAATACTATTCACAACGTGGCTGCGAAGAGCGTTCTTTTTAAAGAATCAGAAATTCTGCTCTTTAAGACGTATCTGGCTCTATCCCCCTTAGAGCCGATTTTCATGTATAATGTTTTCTTTTCGACCGAAGTTATTTGTGTTTTTGACGGTTTCGGTTTGATTTTCTGATCAATTAATATCGAAGAATACACGTTTTTGATAAGTATCTCCTTCAAGAGGCTTAGTTCGTCGTCTATGACTTCGGGACTACAAATTCTTTGTATTCGCGTGGCGAGTAATATTATCAAGTTTCTCTTTCGACTAATGGGAACCCAATTGTGGAAACTTATTAGTCGGACATTCCACATGGGTTTCCTGTAGATAGATCTTTTTAGAGTTTAACCTAGTTTTCTTGTCATTTCCACATCAAAAATGTGAATATTTGTTTGTTTCCAACTTCAAGTGTGAAATTTATATCTGGGTAATTGTTATTAAATGTCGTTATAAAATGACTCAAATCATATTTGTTGTCACAAATGATAAAGATATCATCTACATACCTTTTATACAAGTGGAAGTTTCCTATAGTCGTTTTAAGGTGGTCGTTTTCTAAACTGGCCATGAAGCAATCTATTAGTAATGAACCAACACGGGATCCCATTGCTATGCCATCATCTTGTCTATGAATTACGTCGCTGAATATAAACTGTACATTGCAAGTGCAACGTAGTAATAGTTCCTTCAAATAAACTTCCGGTATTCCGATGCTTATCGCATTGTTATTTTCACAGTTGCAGATAAAACTTATGGTCTTCTTGAATGAAACATTAGTGAATAATGATTCGACATTAGAGATAGCATAATTTTGTCATTTACATCCACTTCTTTTATGTGTTCAATGAATTAAAAAGTATCATGTACAGAGCGTCTACAAATGCATTTTCTTACGGGTTCTAGGTGGTCTGCCAGCCACTTTGCCATAGAGTGGTGAGGGGATCCGGACATATCAATAATTGGTCTGAGATGTAAGCCAGGTTCGTGTATTTATGGCAGACCATATAATCGCGGTATAATCGATATTGTTGGTTTTATGTGCTCAAGGATATGCTCATCGATTGATTGATCATTTTTTATTCTCTTAAGAACTTCAATCAGTTGCTTTGCTATTATTTAGTCTTGTTTTCTCATTGATTGGTATGGAGAATTCAGTGTCATTTGATAATAACTTCGTCATTTTTTCAACATAAATCTTTAGGTCTAGAAGCACTAAACTCACACCTTTATCTGAACGTGTTATAATCAAGTCATTAGTGTTTCTAAGCTATTTTAACTGATTACTATCTTTCGATGGAAATTTAAGCCATTAAAAATTAAACGATTATTAGTTTCCCTGTTCGGAAACTTTTTTAATAACTTTGTTTATTCTACCTCACTGTTACCATGTCTAACAGAAGTTTATTATCATGATTATTGTAATTATTATCATCTTGAAAAAAGATAGGTATATATATTTGCGATTGTACAGCTTTGAAAATGAATTCGCGGAAAAGAGAACTCTTCGTTGAATCTATCTTTCTTATTTAATGTCTTATAGGTGTATTCCGTTTAGTAAAGAAACAGAAATAAACCAGTGGGAGGGTAGAAAGTTTAAGGAGAAGATAGAAAGGGATGCAGTTGACTATAAAGGAAGTAGAGTATGAAGAAAAAAAAGAACAAAGAAGAAATTATAAGACATGAAGTCCATGGTAGAAGAAGAGGTTGTACCAATCTCTTTTATGGGCACACTAATCGGCAATCTTTCTACAAACTGTGTCTTTAAAGCATCAAATTGTTATTTTGAAGTGGCTAAACAGACGTTTTTTCATGAGTTTATTCTTACGAAAATTGTTCGCTTATTGAAATGAACAAATAAAATAAGATATAGATTTCGAGATGGTGGAGAAGATTTGTAGCTCAGGTGGATGAATTTGGTAGAGTTTTGTTCTCTGAGCTGGATAGTTTGGTGGTGTTTTAGGAATGTGTCGTCCACATAACAAATCCGAATTTTTGGCTTGATCACTGGTAAGATCGATGCTTCTAGTCTCTGCATCATTGCTTCTGAGATAATTCCTGATATTAGTGATCCCATCGGTGTCCCTTGTGTTTGTTCATAGATTTTGTTGTTGAATTGAAAACATGTTGTTAAGCATAAATCGATGAATTCTAGTAATCTTTGACTTTGAAGCTTCGTATACTCTGCAAGATTTGCATCGTTGGTGGAGAAGTAGGGATAGAATTTCATTTGCTAAGCTTCATTCAATTGAGGTGAATAATGCTGTTACATCGAAGGATATCATAAGCTCATCATCGACCAAACCATCCAGCTACCAGCTCAGAGAACAAAAACTCCACTAAAAAGGCATAGATTCTCCATATAGTTGTATTTTTAAATTATGTTTATACTAATTGAAGAATATTACATTGAATCAAACATAAAATACCATATTTTCAACTGATATTGAGTACAGGATTGTTATAATTAAAGGTGAAATAAGAATGAAACTGATTACAACAGTATTCTTTATTATAAGCAAGATGGATAGTGGCTAGCAGTGGAATCCAGGACACGCATTTCGTCCTATTTGGGGCTCGTCAGCTGGATGTACCTGCATCTCAGAGTTGATGTTCACTCTGAGACTCGAACCTAGCACCATTCGCTACAAACGCCATCGCGTTATGGTTTTTTTCTACTATTGATATTTGAGACAGAATTGAATCAATGAATCATTCGATATGTTCCCTTATGTTACATGTTTTACTATTTTTCTAGACAGTGGTTTTTAATACGATCTAAAAAGTCTGTTTCACCTTACCTAAGATTCATGAGACGGATATAATTAGATACTAGTGTTGATAATCACTAGAAGATATGAAACAGGTTTCTGTTAATTCGAACGTTAATATACCATTTAATAAATAAGCCGCGATAATCATGATCTTATTCAATGGATATGATAATAATTGTTAATAACAGAGTATGTGTTTTTTTGTTGCTAAAACCTAATATAAACATCAACAGTGAGATTTAGATTGAGTCGATAAAATTAAAATAATACAGATTAGACTATAACCCAACATTAGAAAATGTAATACAGTTATTCAGCTTTTTAAAAAAAACATACTACCCCTTCTGATACTAAACAACATATGCTCACTAATGACTGGTTTCAAGAGGTATATCCTGGAATTCTAGTAAGAAGCAGTAACCAGTGGAGTTCAACCAGGTCTGTTGTGAGTTAGTAACTCACTGAAGACAATAATAGATGTGTCGCTCAATTTCGTGGATTGATTGAAGTTAGACAATAATACTGTTGGATACCAACCGACTCAGTAGTTTAGTGGTTAAGTGCTCGCGCGCGAGACTGATAGATCCTGGGGGGATTATGGATGCACACTGCTGAGAAATCTCAAAATAGCACAAAACGGCCATTCAGGGATTCCATGTTTTCCATGGTTTTCTAGCTTCAATTAACTCATGCTCTCAACTATTTTTTCAGAAAATACCATTTACAATTACAATTGATTGATCACTGGGTGGTGATCAATCTCATGCTTGTCTAGTCCTTATTAGTGCAGATCGAATGCTATCGATCATGTTGCAATGTGGCCACCAGTCTAGGTGACTCGACAATGCGGGCACTATGTATTGAGATTTAGATGGTGGTTGGAGGTAGTCAACAGGAAACCCTGGACCCGGGTTTCGTGCTACTTGGCACTCGTCAGCAAGGTGTACCTGTAATCTTGAGGGAATTGGTGCTCCCTGGCGGATTCGATCTCGTGTCACCCAGCTTCGCAGTCAGAGACGTTACCACTGAGCTATCCGAGCCGTGACTAACCTCCTGTAGGACTGAGATGTAATCACAATTGATTGATCACTGGGTGGTGATCAATGTCATGCTTGTCTAGTCCTTATTACAATTTATTGTTTTAATTTGTATACTTTTCTTTTCTGTTTTTTTTCTTTCAAGTTTTGGATGTTGCAAGTTTTGAACGTTTAATGGGACCATGCCTTAAAGTGATGCAAAGAAATATTGACACATATGAAAAACAATTAACTGAATTACTTGGAACTAATAATCAATTAAAAATAAATGAATTTAGATCAAAATAATTTAATTCTATAGAAATAAATTTTAAAAAAACTTTTTCTTTCTTTCTTTTTCGTTGTTGTTGTTGTTGATGTTTTTGTCGTTGCTACTATCGTTTTCTTTTTCAATGTTCAATCAAAACCCAAGATGACTATTTTAAACAAATGATCTTTCTATATATACATACATTTATGAAAAAAAGTATTCTGTTTATATATTACCAGTTCATTTTGTCAATTTAATGTTTACATTTCAGATTCTTCTTGTTTGTTTTTTTTTTTGTTTTCTTTTGTTTTTTTTTTGCTTTTTTTTAAAGTGAATGTAAACTTCAGTACGATGTTTGTTTCATTACGTAACATCAATAAGGTTATTCATAGATATATTGATGATAGTATCATCATAATAGTATATATATAATTTTCTACGGTGAGTTAAACGTTCATCTTGAGTTGCCATCTCAACAACAACAAAAATACAAAGAAAAAAAACAACAAAAAAGATACATATTACGTAATACCATTCACATATGAAATCGAAAATGATTATACTTGGTTACTGGATATAAATCTTCTTTTACGAAAGGAAGAAAACAACAAAAAAAGAACAGCCAGAATTCATGTTAATTTAAGAATATTTTTTAAACGCTACAAATGTGTTCTTCTTTCTTTCTTTCTTTTTTTCTTTCTCTTTTTTTTAATCATAACAATCAATATTGTAATAAAATAAAGAAAACAAAAAAAAGACAAGACAAGGTGAGTTACAGTCAAAATGTGTGAAAGAAAAAAAAGAGAAAAAATTTGTGCATTTCCATTTTTCATTCTTGTCTTAAGAAATAAAAAAGAGATAGAAAAGAAAACAAATTTGCTTTTCTTATTTGATTTATTAATGTCTAATATTGTAGTGATATTTTGATTATCAGAGAAGGGTTTTTGTAGATATTATGGTTATTTTCATAGTTGAATTCATTAGTTAATGAAAGTTAGACCGCCATGGAAAACCTGGAAGTATTAGACGGTCGTTTCTTTCTAGTGTGTGGCTCCTTAGCAGTGCGCATCCATGATCACGTCCTACGAGATTTTAAACCCAGGACCTATCAGTTTCTTTAAACCAATGAGCCGGCTGACATCTAACGGTGTTAATGTCTAACTTTAAGTAATCCACAAAATTGAGTCACTGTCGCGTGGGGGGATGGTGGGTACGCGCTGCTGAGGAGTCCTATATTAGGATGAAATGGCCGTCCAGTGCTTCCAGGTTTTCCATGGTGGTCTAGCTCCAATTAGCTCATGAATTCAACTATTAAATAAATAAATTTATTTGTTCGTTCTTTATAAAGAAAGATTGAGTGTGTGTTTGGGAAAAGAGTTTCAATGTTTAACAGTTTATCACTGCTTTTTCAATATTTTAATTAAAATAAATGTAAAATTACTTAGTTACTTACGTCTAATTTTTCCCTCATGGGGGAGCATAGGCCTGTCACTAGGATTCTCCATCCAACTCTGTCCTGGGAAATGTAAAATGCATTCATATAGATAGTTTTAATTAATAAAGAAAAGGATTATAAGAAAAGATGGATAGTGAGTAGCAGCGGAATCCAGAGAGTGAGTTTCGTCCTATTTGGGACTGGTCAGCTGGATGTACTTGCATCTCAGAGTTGATTTTCGCTCTGGGACTCGAAACCTGTACCGTTCGCTTCAAACGCCATCATGTTATCCACTTAGCAACTGCTAGCCAATATTCATTTTTGTTTATAATGCCTGTAATTTAAGGTAATATCGGGACAATACGCACAGTATGCACATATGCCAATAAGAAATTATCCAATTGCAGTCCTGAACATCAACGGAAAGATTCAATCAAGCAATACAAAGTGAATTTAAAGAAAAGAATTGTTTGAGATGAATATATGTGTTATGTCCCGACAAGAATAATGAATGGTAATTTTGGGATCCATTTATGTACCAATACTATGCGTGTATTTTTATCGTATAATTGTTAAATAACTATACTATTCATATTCATGTCTCTCTTATTATGAGCTTTATTTTGACCTATGAACTAATACTATACGTTTCACCATTCTTGAATTATGCCCTGTTTATTAATTACTACTTTTCACATTCACAGCCACTTTTGGTCAAATCTTGTACAAATGTTGTTTCCTATTCTATGGTATGGTGTAGTCTGTCTGGTTGGTATATAAACCCGGTATGTTTGAAATAAATGATTCATCTTGCAGAGGCTGAGATTAGTGTTCTGGACTTAACTGGCTGGGCTAGGCACGGAGCAGGATCAATCAGGACTGTAGGCTGTTCGCACGTGTTTTACGCGTCATTGGTCCGGTCGATAAACCACTGCTCCCTAATTAGTGGTCACAAGATATAACAATATGTCAAGAATTGGTATCGATTAGGGAAGTATTAAAATCTGTTAGAGTAGGCTTAAATACGACATTTCTAACTGTGGTGCGTGCTACTTATATTGATATAAGTAGTATATGACGCGAGTCAGGAATGTAATGTCTGACAGCAGAAGATGGGGAAGATCAAGAAAGGAGGAGCGGGAATAAAAAGCAATAAGTATGGGAATGCAAGAACAACGAAATTCGAGACATTTATTGAACATTTTGCACATTAAGTATTATAGTATGGTCTTTCTATTTTACCAAGGAACTGTAATTTTGCGCCAATTATAATTCGGTTGTCCTCACCTGTGTTCTTCACTACATAACCGCTTCTTAGCCTCTAGAAATGGTCTACTATTCATTTATGAAACATGAAATATATGGCGAAACTGGTGAAACAAGACTTAATTAACGGTCTATATATAAAAGAAAAGTATAGTTATAAGATTATATGTGATTTTCAGATTGTAAATGCTTCTATGAAATTCTTATTTATTTATTTGAACACATAAATATTGATAATAATGGGCACCAAATACATATGCACCATACAAGTCATTTGATTTGTGTGTGGGCTGTGATTCTGCCCGAGTGTCCAGACCAAAGCAGGTGGTTTTCATCTGGAGCCACACCTCGAGCCTTTGACCTAAAGGTCTAATCCACAAGACAGTGAAGCAACGTCAGGTGATGTAGTCACATGTTAACCGGTGACCAACAATTGGTTCATACGCTGTTTGTTCCCGCAGGATCCTGGAGTCCATATGCACCATCGGTTTGGAATCCAGTTAAAGCCCCGGACATTCGCTTTTCGTCCTCTCAATTTCGTAAACAATAGTAATGCGATGAGAAACATATGCTATTGTTGTATTCAACAGCTCAACCCTGAACTGCTGAATTACTAAAACTTCTGCAAACGTACACGTTTTTCGATTCATGCTCTTTTTAACCCCGCTTGTTTATTTAATATGGATTATTTTTTACTGTTTTTTTCCAAACGTACTACTTTTATTTCTTAAACACATACTACTTTTAATAAAAATAATGAAAGAACCAACCGATTGTGGAAAAGAACAAACCAGGTCCCAGCGGAGGAAGAAATTAAGAAGAAGCGTTGGAAGTGAATAGGACACACATTGAGGAAAGCACCCAACTGCGTCACAAGACAAGCCTTCACATGGAATCCTCAAGGCCAAAGGAAAAGAGGAAGACCAAAGAACACATTACGCCGAGAAATGGAAATAGACATGAGAAAAATGAACAAGAATTGGATGGAATTAGAAAAGAAGGCCCAGGACAGAGTGGGTTGGAGAATGCTGGTCGGCGGCCTATACTCCGTTAGAAGTAACAGGCGTAAGTAAGTAAGAAAGAAGCAAAATCTATGTATCCCTTTTCTATTTCTTCATCAATTAAATTGATGTAAGATAAAACAAGTAAATTGTAAGTAAAAAACATATTTTTACTACCAAATGTCCTTGCACCTATAATAACACTAACCGTGACGACGACGACAACAACAACAACAACATCATCAGCAACAACTCAAAAAGAAACTAATGATTTCCTTTTGTCTTTAATTAAAATCACTTTTCAAAATGAAATTCTCAATGAATCCTTAATAACTAAGTAAATATATTAATCATAATAATTCCAAACTGTCATTGTAACAAATGTGTTACAGGCAATCATGACGACAGAAATAAGTGGATAGATAAATGCTAAGGTGTACACACGCACATACATACACAACTGAGTAATTGTTTATATAAACACACACACACACGGGTATGTAGGTGAGTGTGTATATGTGCTTTGTGCACAAGCAAAGGTACTGACAAATGCATGAAATATAGCTCAATGATTTTTCTTTTACAATCGAAGGTAATTTTCTAATTTCTGTTTTGTTCCTTCCTGTTAGTATTTATTTAACCTAGATTCTTATCATTTCTTGCAGAGTTGATCTTAATCTTACCTTTTTTTAATAGTAGGACACATATGTTCAAGAAAAATGATTGACAATAACCGTTTTGACTCAAGAAAATTAATTTTGAGTACAGTATAGAATTCTTCATACTAATTGTGTAATATTACTGATCTGTTTTCTAATTGAACGCTAGATTCGGTTATTAAGCTCTTTTAGTAACCCCCGGGCTAGATCTACACAACAACTTGAACATGAAAGTAAAGGCCCGAAATATGGAAGAAACGCTTTACTCCAAAGGTTCGTTTTTGTACGGTTTTTATAATATTTTAAATGGCCTTAGGTTCCGGGAAAATTCTGAAACACTACTAAACACAGTAGCAGTATAGGTAATTATCCAATCAGAAACTGGACATGTGACTTTTCACTTTCTAGATGTTTCTGGTAAAATTCCTAGTGAATGCTGATTGGATAAGATGCTTCTCAGAGTTATCAGAGCATTTGTTGACTTTTTCGAGGAGTTTTCTGGATCTCTCCAACAATTACAACAAATAACTCTTTAACCCATTTAAATTATAATTATTCAAAAGAAATTCTAAAAAAGACTGTATGAAATACGATTCGTAACTGTGGGTTTATAGTTCATCTGTTCCTCAATGTTTAGTGAGTGGATACTACATATAAAAACATAATTTTCAATGGAG